CTTAAACAACTCTCTGCCATCAAGTGGACTCTGACTCGTGGCAACCCTACCGGACAGACAGTCGCTCTACAAGGGTTTCCCCGACAGTCGCGCTACAAGAGTAGAAAGCCTTGTCTCTCCCCTGCATGGACACACTTCACTATTAAAACAAAACCAAAAAAACGAAGGGAGCAACAACCCTATTAGGTACCTCCTAAGGGCACTGGGCAGTTTGATCAGAGAAGGATCCTATGTAGGAGGCTGGCCCTATTCCAGAGCAACACCTGTGGGCTGGCAAGGAGGCACTCGGCTAGCAAGCGCCAGCGGTTCAAGCCCACGATGTCTCAGGGAGAAAGACGGGCAGCCCGATTCAGACAGAGGTTGGCTGGTGAGGCGCCATGCTCTCTTTTTTTTGAGCAGTGGCTCTCAACCTTCTTCTTCTTTTTTAAAAATCGTTTTATCAGGGGCTCATACAGCTCTTATCACAATCCATACATACATTCACTGTGTCAAGCACATGTGTAGCCATCATCATTTTCTTTTCTTTTTTAAAATCATTTTATGAGGGGCTCATACAACTCTTATCACAATCCATACACACATCGATTGTGTAAAGCACATTTGTACATTCATTGCCCTCATCATTCTCAAAACATTTCCTCTCCACTTAAGCCCCCGGCATTAGGTCCTCATTTTTCCCCTCCCTCCCCGCTCCCCCCTCCCTCATGAGCGCTTGATAATTTATAAATTGTTATTTTGTCATATCTTGCCCTGTCCGACGTCTCCCTTCACCCACTTTGCTGTTGTCCATCCCCCAGGGAGGAGGTCACCTGTAGATCCCTGTAATCGGTGCCCCCTCTCCAACCCACCCTCCCAGTATCATTGGGCCATGTGCTATATTCTAACCCGGGTGGTGGTAAACGGTGTTTCATCAATATTCTTTCAGTTGTGCATATGTGTGCGTGTTTATGTTTCCTTTTGTAAAGCTTGGTCAGAACACAGGCCAACACAAAGGTAGGAAGGAGTGGTTGCACCGCTTCACCGTGGGGGTCTGGAGTTGGTCTCTATCCTTTCTTCCCTTTGTCTCGCCTCCTCTGACTTGACAAGAAGGAAAAAGTCAAATGACACGCCAGCACAGCCAAGGCTACTCCGCACGCCGCTGACATCCAGAACGGCTCGGCCCTCCAACCTTCTGTACCAACTCTGACTCCCAACATCCCTCCCACCGCAGCCTCGGACTCTCAACTGGGTTTGAGGATTTACTGCAATGGGCACGCAGCGCTCTCGGGTAATACAACTTTATTAAGACCGCTCCCAAGTTACAGTTTAGGTGAGAAATGCTCAAGATGCGGCTGTTTGGTCAGAACAGCTTCCTCTCCGCCCTGCTCAGGCCGTGTTAAAAAACTCTCTTGGGGATGACGATAAACACTCAAAGGCCACTACCAATCTGCCACCACTCTCAGGTAAGACACTCTGTTCTAGCTCTTAGGTCAGCAAACCTGTTGCTGTGCTGTTGTTTGGGGCCGAGTTGGTTCCAGCCCATCGTGATCTTCTGCACAAAAGAAGGAAACACTGCCTGGTCCTGCGCTACCCTCACAAGTTGTCCGACGCCCGAGCCCATTGGAGCTCTGTGGATCAGCAAATCCAGCTCCCCAATTAAGTGCCTGGAGGCCCTCCACTCCATAAGCCAGCCTCTTACCTGAAAGCACTCACCTTTCTATGCTCCCTGGGCTGGTGGGATAGTGAGAAGATATGGGTGCGGTTTACCCTGTCAACCAGGTCGCAGCTCGAGGACCTCCTTTGGAGGTGCAGTTGAGCGAGATAATGGCTCTCTGCAGGCCAGCCTCTCTGCCTTCCCCTGCCTGTTGGTGACCCATGCTGAGCCCTGTGAGCCCTGTGATGTGGCCACCGCCACCGGATCCACACAACACTACGCCCGCCAGCCTGTTGCTGGCGTGAGTCTGAAGAGGGACTGACGGACTCGTATTGGACTTATGGACTTGAGTTGGACTGGGCTGGGATGGTTTTGTTTTGTTTTTCATCTTTCTTGGGGGAGGGGGGGGCGCTAGGATGTTTTAGTGATGCACCATTACTCCTTGATATAAAGCTCTTTCTTATACATACTCGTATATGAGTATCTCTGGATTTGTTTCTCTAGTCAACCCGGTCGATCACAGCTGGAAGTCCACCGCTGTCTCACGCTCCGGCCTGCGGTTCTGCTGTTCACTGCGCTGCTCCTGGGGAATCACAGCTATCTCCCGGGCAGAGGAGGATCAGTGTTCAAATAGCTCACGGTCCAAAGGACCCATTTCACTCCTGGTTCTTCTCCCTTGCTGGTAATGAATGCCCCACCTCTTTCCTGCTCCTAAGATGGCTGGTTTTATACCCATCAAGAGGGCAATCACAATTGACCCTGCTGACAATCACTCACAACAGCTGAGCCATAATTCCATCATCTTCTCTTACCCGGGGAAAATGCTGTTTAGGGAGCATTAAGATGCCTCTGGCTAGACGAGTCACATTAAACAATTCACCATACTGCAACTGGTCAGCATGAACCGCCAACCTCTAAGCCCAATGGAGACTTGAGTCTCTCTTTTATTCCGTCTGCTCACAGACCACTGGTCTTGAATCACTAGCTCTACCGCTCAATACTTCTAACCCCTTAAAAAATTTTTAAGTTCAAAATAGGTCACTCCTTAGAGTCCTCCTAATTCGGATCATTCTTTCCCGGCCTCTTTCAAAGACTCTTCTCTGCATTCTCCTTACACAGTGAGTCTCAGATTGTGAGGCACACTAAGGCTCATTTGCAGCAATAATTTTAACAGGTATACCAACTGAATAATTTTAACAGGTATACCAACTGAACCCACTCAAAGAGATTTCCACTCATCAATTTTGAGTGAGTCTCAGGAACCTGTATTTTTTTTTAACAAGTAGCCAGGTAATTCTGGAACAGGTTGGATTCAGGCCATACTTTGAGAAATATTGCTGTAAGCGCTGATGTCTCCTAGCATTCTGGGTTTGGCGCTATGATCTCTCTATAGCTAGACCATATAAAGAAGAACATGGCATACAGATTAGAGGAAAGCTCATCAATCACTTGAATACGCAGATGACAATACACACACAATCGTGCCTGCTGAAAGTGAAGAGGACTTGAAGCACTTACGGATGAAGATCAAAGAGTACAGCCTTCGCCACGGATTCCAAATCAATGCACAGGACACTGAAATTCTCACAACCGGACCAATAGACAACACCATGATACACAGAGAAAAGATGGACGTTGTTGTGGACGTCATCTTACTTGGATCCACAATCAAGGCCCGTGACAACACCAGTCCAGAAACCAGACAACATATTGCACTGGGAGGAGATCTGCAGCAAAAGATCTCTTTAAAGCGTAAGAGGGGGGAAAAAAGTAAAGAGCAAAGATGTTACTTTGAGGACGAAGGTGCAGCACGGTTTATTCAATCACCTCACGTGCACGCAAAAGCTAGGCAATAAATAAAGAAGATGGGAGACTAACTGATGTATTTGAACTACGGTGTTGGCGAATGCAGAATATCCAAAGGATCATGGACTGCCTAGAGAATGGACAACGCTTGTCCTAACAGATGTACAGCCAGAAGGCTCCTCGGAAGGGAGGTTGGCTGGACTGCCTCTCAGGTACTTTGGACATGTGATCAGAAAGGACCCGTCCCTGCACAAGCCTATCGCGGTTGGTAAAGGGCGGGGTCAGCGCAAAAGAGAAACACCCTCAGCAAGGCAGCCCCAGTAACAGGCTCACGCATAACAACAGTTGTGAGGCCGGCGCGGGGCTGGGCAGTGTTTTGTTCTGTTCTATTGTACAGCCAGTCACTCGGCGTTGGAGCCAACTCCACACACCTCCCAACATCTTTCACTGCAAACGTAGGGTCTTGAACACGGGCCTCAGAGGGTCTGTGACACCCCCCCTTCCATGTGTAGTCTGTAGGTAGGTGGCATAGGTCCATTTTTGTTAAAGAGTCGTAATTTTCACCACCTCCCAAAGTTTGTGAAATAGCTAGAAAGCACTACTTCACCCACCCACTCTTCCTACCAGAGCTCATCCACATTCTGGTGACTTCTTACTCTCTATCAGTGGCCCAGTGTTCTCTGCAAACCTTCGTATTCAGCTGTCTACTAAGTATTTGCCTTTGGATACTCCACAAGTAGCTCCCGCTCAGCTTGTACAAGACGGAACACACCATCTGCCTCCACCAACTCCATCTGCTCCTGCTCTGCCTGCCTGTCTGCCTGTCTGGGGAAACTGGGTGATGTTCCTGGACTCCTCTCTTCCTCATTCTCTCCACCTCTCCTGCTCACTCACCTCCCTCCCTCCCACTCTATCCTGCTCTCGGCCTTCCCCAGTTCTCAGCTGCAAGTACCTTGAATGATCTCTTTGCCTCATCTCACTACTTCCCACCTGCCCAATTCCTCTCCTGTCTAACATTCAGGAACCCTGATAGGGCAGTGGCTATGCATTTTGCGGCTAACCCTGAGGTCCAGAGCTCAAGCCCACAAACAGAGAAGGAAAGATGTAGCAGCCTGTCTTTTTAAAAATGTACCCACCCTGCCTTAGGAGCCCAACGGAACAGTTGATTCGGGGCAGATTCCATGGCGATGGCTTTGGTTTGGTCTAGCACCTTCTACCAGCTCATCGACGTCGGTGCAATCCTGACAAACCAGGTGCTGTCAGGAGCCGACGCTGCCTACATTTCCAGTGCAGAATGCTTGGGCTACGCTCGGTGATTCAGTTACCCCAAAGGCCTCGCTTTCCCACCTCCGTAACTTTTTCCCATGCCCTCTACTGCTTGGAGGCCAGGATTTATTGCATTCTCAGCGGCACAGCAGTGCTAGGCGTCGAGCTCGCCCCCCTTCAATGGCTAACGTTTGCCGAATGGCTGGCAGACCATCCGGATGCCTAAATATCAAGGGCACCTCCGGAGTGGCCGTGGGGCCCGGAGGGGCCACCCGCAGTCCATTACGCCCCTCACCAGCTGCCTGTCCGCCGCCGTGCGGTCGGGCACGAGGCTGTACAGCTGACTTCTCAGAGCGATGGGCGGTAGGGCATCCTCAAACAGGCCCCGCGGGAACAGTCGCACCAGCTCCGCGATGGCCGCGCGCGCCGACCCTGGGCAGAGGGATGAGTCCGTGAGGCCGCGTTCGGTCAAGCGGCAGACCACTCATCACAGGCCCACCGGTCCCCAGTATCCATGGTTACTGGAGACGAGGCCCCACCCATCTGGGGTCTTCAGCCCCGCCCCGAGTTGCCATGATTACCTGTCTCACCCCTCAGAGGATCCGCTTTTCCATCTCTCCGCTCACGCCGCCTTTTCAGCCCAAAGGTCTCCGAGACCAGGTGATGCCTCTTGCGGCTCATCTCCGGGGACACCTAGCTTTTAACGGGGCTGCGGAGGGACCAGGGACTGAGGGACCAGCGCGTTAAAGCAGGCTCTTCCGGCGCGGCGAAGTGACGTCAGCGCACGGAGCGGCCCTCCCTGGGGACCGGCAGCCCCGCGTAAGGAAGACAACGTGATGACGAAAGGAGTTGCTGGGAGAGCCCGGACCAATGAGGACGCCGCAACGGGGAGCCCGGACCAATGAGGACGCCGCAACCCTACGCCTAGCGCGGATTGGCTCCTCCGAGGACACGCGCGTCCAGGGACGCACAGACTGGGTGTCGCGGAGCCGCCGGGTGCAAAGCACGGCTTCCAGAGGTTTACCTCCCGCTGTGGCCGAATGGCTGGGTCGTCGGAAGCAGGACTACCTTTGCGACCCACTCCGAGGTCTTACGCGCTGGCCATGGCGTCATAACCTTGCGGCGGTGGAAGTCGAAGCTTCGAGGTAACCGGACGCTGGGATTTGAGCCCTAACTTCTCAACATCATGCATTGGGAGGTCAGTGTCCGGCAGTGGGGGCAGAGGCCACCAGGAGAGGTGGGGTGTGTGCCTGGCCACAGTTCTGTTAAGAGATGCAGGCACGTGGATGTCTCAAGGCCGACACCCTGCGATCGGGAAGCCCATCCTGGCCCGGAGTTAACTCTTCGCACTAAAAATGGCAATTGCTCTCCCCTCTCAGAACTACATGGAGTCCAGAGAGACCAAGAGAGAAGCTGACAAGATCCAAGTGGCCGAACTTCCGAACAAATGCCCCCGCCGAGCACCCTCACTGCGCACGGACCCTGCCTTGTACTCTGGACCCTTCCCCTCCTACCGGCGCCCCTCTGAACTGGGCTGCTTCTCCCTAGATGCACAGCGCCAGTACCATGGAGACGCCCGGGCCCTGCGCTACTACAGCCCGCCGCCTATCAATGGCCCAGGCCCCAACTTTGACCTCCGAGACGGGTATGTGGATCGGTACCAGCCCCGGGATGAGGAGATTCGAGAAGGGCTGGACCACCTGCTGCGCTGGCTTCTGGAGCACCGTGGGCAGCTGGAAGGGTGAGTGAAACCGCGCACCCAGCGAGATCCCAAGGCCAGGGGCTCCCCCTGGAGTTCAGTGCCAATAGTGCAGTAGTGCACAACCTGTGGGTCACGACCCCTTTGGGGGTGGGGGTGGTGTCGAACGACCCTTTCACAGGGGTCACCCTATTCATAACAGTAGCAAAATGACAGTCACGAAGTTGCAACAAAAGTAATTTTGTGGTTGAGGGACATGCGGAACTGTATTAAAGGGCCATGCATTAGGAAGGTTGAGAACCACTGCTCTAGTGGAGCCTGACCCTGTGTGACAAAGTACAATGACCTCTTAACTTCCTGGCTGTAACCTACATCTCTCGCTTTTGGGTGAGCAGCTGCCTGCCTACCTTGCACTGATCCCTCCCCTTAAAATGAGGAGACCAACTGGAGTGATGATCCAACCTCAGGAGGAACTTAAAGGGGAGCCAACCCCAGTCAATGCTTGTGTATTTTCCCAACTCCTCTCTCTCAGGGGCCCCGGCTGGCTGGCAGGAGCCACAGTGACATGGCGGGGACACCTTACAAAACTGCTGACAACACCCTATGAGCGACAAGAGGGCTGGCAGCTGGCTGCCTCCCGGTTCCAGGGGACGCTGTACCTGAGTGAGGTGGAGACACCGGCTGCCCGGGCCCAGAGGCTTGCTCGGCCACCCCTCCTCCGGGAGCTCATGTACATGGGGTACAAGTTTGAGCACTACATGTGCGCAGGTGAGAGCTGGCCCTGCTCTGGAGCCCAGTCCGCCTTCCCCAGAGACTGCTTCCCCCCCCCCCAGACAAGCCTGGCGGCTCCCCAGACCCCACCAGGGAAGTCAACACCAATGAGGGCTTCTGCTCTGTGCTACGCAGCCGCCTGGGGAGCCACCCCCTGCTCTTCTCGGGGGAAGTGGACTGCACAGACCCCCACGCTCCATCCAAACAGCCCCCGGCCTGCTATGTAGAGCTGAAGACCACCAAGGAGATGCACAGCGCTGGGCACTGGAGGACCTTCTACAGGTTTGGGGTGGGGGTTGGCTGCGGGGCGAGCCTAGGATGGGACTTGAGGCTGAACGGAGGACGGACCTTGCTGACCTCTTGCTGTCCCTGACAGACACAAGCTCCTGAAGTGGTGGGCTCAGTCGTTCCTGCTTGGGGTCCCGAATGTCATCGCTGGTTTCCGAAACCCCGAGGGTCTAATCTCTTCCCTCAAGACCTTTCCCACCATGGAGATGTTTGAAAATGTCAGGGTAAGGTGGTAACGTCGCGGCACCCCCCTGGACACCCCCAACTCCCAAGACTAGGGGACTGGTGTCCAGGGCTGCCTTCTCCCCGCAACCTCACTTCCCCGGCTTCTGCCCACTCCAGAATGACCGTGATGGCTGGAACCCCTCCGTGTGCATGAACTTCTGTGCCGCCTTCCTTAGCTTTGCCCAGAACACGGTCGTCCAGGATGACCCCAGGTGAGACATCCGCCCCGCCCTGCCCATCTCCCCTCCCCTCAGACCTAGCAGCTGGGCCCTCCAGCCCTCACCCTGCCTCCATCTACCCCTAGGCTGGTCCACCTCTTCTCCTGGGATCCCGGCAGCCCGGTCACCGTGTCTGTACATCGAGATGCACCCTATGCCTTCCTGCCGACGTGGTACGTGGAGGCCATGAGCCAGGACCTCCCATCACCCCCCAAGACTCCCTCCCCGCGGGCCTGAGCCCCGTCTGTGTGCAGATAATAAATAGGTTATTTCTAGGTGCTGCTCCCGGCCGCGTCTCCCCCGCAGGCCTGCCCACCACCTCAAGCACACGTGGGTGGCTCGCAGCTTTATTCTAGTCAGACAGCAGACGCCGCTCCCGGGCAGCTCACTGGGTGTAGAGGCTGGCCGCAAAGACGATGTCCCTCCGCAGCAGTGTTGCCGCTGACTCCACCTTGGCCCCCAGCACAGGCTCGCCCACCAGGCGGGCCGCCCCCCGCAGCGAGCGGCACATCTCAGCCAGGCGCTGGATGCAGCGCACGACCAGGCCCTCGGGAGTCCCGGAGAGCCCTGCCAGCTCGGAGAAGGGCTGTGGGGAGAGCAGGGTGGGAGAAATGCAGGCCGCCTTCCCTACGTAGCGCACCCCCCTTCCTCCCCAACCCATTCCGTGCCGCGCACTCACCATGCCCCGGGCCCACTCGTACACCACCTCCACCAGCCCAAAGTTCAGCTCCCCCACAAATTCTTCCACCGACTGGTTCAGGCCACAGGCCACCTGGACCTCGCCGATCCGCTTGGCCACAGCCCGAACCCGCTCCATTCCCTGCAGATGGAGAAGGGCTGGTTAAGGCCTGCTTCCTGCCCAGGACTGGGGGGCCCAGGGCAGGGCTGGATGGGTCCCTCAGGAGACTTGGGTGGGGGTAGGACACGGAGCCAGGGTACAGGGTGGGCATCCCCCACCTGCTTGAGGGTACTCGGGAGCTGATCACCAGCATCCCCAGAGCTCTGGCAGACCAGGCCCGAGAGCAGGGCCGCGATCTCCTCGGGCCGCAGGGCACTCAGCGCGTTGTCAAACATGAGCTCGGTCAGGAGCAGCTCGTGGCTACTCATGGCACAGGCCACCCGCCCTGCCAGCTTCACAGTGCCAGCCTCGTCCACGTAGCCCAGGGTGCGGAGCACCTGAAAGAAAGAGGGCAGGTGTCGGGGAGCCTGTGCCGGCTCCTGGGCTCGCCCGGCCCCCTCCCTCTGCTCGCCCCACCTCTACTCGCTGGTGGTACTCGGGCAGCAGCATCAGAGACTGGTCCGACAGCAGGAAGCGCAGCCGCTCCGTCTCCCTCTGTATCTGCATTCGCTCCTGCAGCTTCAGGTACTGCAGAGAGCCCGAGAGCGGAGCCGTCAGCCTGCCTCTCACCCCTCGGCAGGGCTGTGCTGAGGACCAGGGCTGAGGCAGGGGACCGCGGGGGCTGTCATCTGGGGCCCCACCTGGGCAGGGAAACGGGGACTGTGCACACACTGAGCCCCCCGGATCAGCTCTTCCAGCCTGCGGGCCCGGAGACCGCCCTCTACCACAGACACATCTTTGAGCTGCAAGTCGTTGACAGGGTCCAGGGTGGGGGGTCCCGCCGGGTAGGCCTGAGCCAGGCGCAGCAGTTCCTGGACCGCAGTGGTCACGCCCGCCAAGGGAGGATCCTTCCTGAGGCAGGAACAGGTCATGAGATTCACTCCCCTAGGGGTCCCCTTGACCGTGGGAGCCTCCCCCACCACATGGTCTCTCTCAAGCTGGGACAACTATCGCACCACCCACATCACTGCCCACCTCAGAGTCCCTCCCAGGCTGGGCATCCCTTCACCCTCCCAGACAAAGGGCTTCCCGGGCCTCTCTGACTTGAATTTAGGCTGCTGCCTCTTGTTGAAGTCCTCCAAGATCTTCTCCCCGTTCACCCGGAGCACCTTAGCGGCGATGGCAGCCACGTCTCCTGGCTGGAGCTTGGCCACGACGTGGTCGCAGGGCCCTATGGAAGCAGGGTCAGGCTCCGCCTCGGAGCGGGCAGCCATCTTCACGTGCACCGCCATCAGGCCCGGCCTCGGCCTCTCCCTCACCCTCAGGCAGGAACAGCTTAAACCCCACGAGGTCATCGGGAAAGGGCACATCTGGGGTGGCCGGCGCCCTGTCCTTCGGGGTCTCAGCCGTGGGCTTATCACACAGGACCAGCGTTGTGAATACTCTGCTGTTGGAGTTGGAGGAGACCTGGGGAGGGGGGCGGCCGGACAAAGCATGAGAGCCAACCCCCCTTCCCCACCTGGGGCAGGGACCTCAGAAGCAGCCATGTGGCGACCAGTGTCAAAGGGGCAACCAAGTCAGGCCGCCAGGGCAAACTGCGGGGACAGATGGAGATGGTCCCTGCCGCCCACCACCTCTGTGCTCCCGGGCCGACCCCTCCCCACTCACCTGCAGGATCACTCCCAGGGCGTTGTGATGCTCACAATTATTCACAACCACGACCCTTCCCACTGAGAGAGCTTTCAGCCCGTTCACAGACTCCATGATGCGCCGCTGTAGGGCAGGGACGCGCAAAGGGTGACGGAGGGGCAGTGAGGCCAGTTCAGGGCGCCACCTCCCCGCCTCATCCCCTCCAATGCCCACCTGGATCAGGCTCCGGGCCTCTGTCAGCTCCTCCCCCCAGCTGTAATACTCAGGCAGGTCAGCCAGCTGGCCAGTCAAGTCAGGCTCCTCCAAGGCCACCAGCCTCTTGTTCAGTTCAGCCAGAGACTGTTCGTGGGCCTGAAGACCAAGAGGGGGCCCGCCGTCAAGTGAGTCTCGGGCTGTTTGACACTCACGCCGCCCTGTCCCGTCCTGGCTTCCCTCAGCTCCCCCACCTTGCTGTCCTTGCGGGACGGGAACTCAGAGAAGCTTCTCTTCATCATGTCCTCCACCCTGAGGGCGTCCACGCGCAGCAGGTTGAGGATCATGGTGTACGTGAGGCGGAACTGGGACTGCAGCTGGGAGGGCTTCCCCTGGGGCCACGTCAGAGAGAGCCGTCAGCCAGGGCGGGAAGGGACCCGCTCCCACCCAACCCTCTGGGTGCACTGCCAATCCCAGCAGACCAAAGCCCCCAGTGGCTTCCCTCTACCTGTGCTAAGGACGGGAACTACATCACGGACAGACTCTGGACAACCCCGGAGGGCTGTAGGAGGTGTAACCTCATGTGCTGAGCTGTGATCCAGAGTCAGAAGTTTGAGACCAGCAGCCACTCCTCGGGAGAAAGACGGGGCTTTCTCCTTATGTAGAGTGCTCTGGGTCAGTCACTCAGTGGCCGGGGGCTGGGTTCGTTTCCCTGAACTTGGTTGCAAGGAGCACCCTGAGAGGCTGGCTGCTCAAACCGCCCAGGGGCTGTGGGGAAAAGGGCCCTGCTCCCATCAAGATCATGGCCTCGGCCCTGCTGTGGGGCTGCAGCCCGGTCCCAGCTCAGAAACCCTGGGGACAGGGACGTTTGGCTCTACCATCACCCGTGGTTCTCCTCCTGCTCCCAGGCAGCAATGAAAAGGAGAGGCAGGTCCGAGGGGGCAGCAGGCCCCGAGATCGGGGTGGCCCGGGGGGCCGCTCACCATCATCATGCGGTGCAGGTCTGCCATCTCGGGCACGCGGCCCTTGCAGAGCAAGATGACGGTGCCCGTGGGGTCCAGGCCCCTCCTGCCGGCCCGGCCGGCCATCTGCACGTACTCCCCAGGGAGCAGGTCCCGGAAGGCAGAGCCGTCGTGCTTGCGCATGGAGTCGAACACCACCGTGCGCGCCGGCATGTTGACCCCCATGGCAAAAGTCTCCGTGGCGAACAAGACCTGTGGGGAGAGGAGGCAGGCTGGGCAGGGGGGCTGTGCCCCGGGCAAGCTCCGCCCCCTTCCCGACTTTGTAGAGCAGGCTCCGTCAGCAGGGACCAGGCCCAGTGCTCACCAACAGGGTTCCGTTGATGCTGCGGGCAGGTCTGCAGTGAACACCTGCGGTCCACTCGTGTTGCCTGAGTTCCCATTACACCCCGTCCCTCGCCCAGCCCCCACTGGCCATTCCACGCTGTCTCCCCATTTGGGTCAGAAAACGGTGCCCCACAGCACTGTCCGTCAGAACAAACTCCCTGCTATCCAGGTGACCCTATAAGGAAGGGTAGAACTGCCCCGTGGGCTTCCGAGACTTTACAGAACGAAAAAGCTTCATCTTTCACCCGTGGAGCAGTGGGTGGGTCGGTGGTTTCAAACCGCAGACCTTAAGGATCGCAGCCCAACGTACAGCCACTGTGCTGCCAATAGCGCAGTGGATTTATGTTTTGTTTTTCCCAGAAGACCTTCTCAAGCCTCTCTCTCGGGTGAATGAATTGAACTCGAAGCTCCAGTTGGCAGGCGGGAGGGGAGCCTTCCCTCTTTGCACCACTCAGCCCCCTGAGCCTGCGTAATGGCCATCTTTCCGGCTGACTGTGTCCTTGTGGGATGGGTCTTGTTTGGGGTGCCTGTCAATCCACCCCCACTTGCCACCGGGCCGATGCTGACTCATAGCAACCCTGTATCGGGTTTGTCAAGACTGTAAATCTTAACGGGAGCAGCCAGCCTCATCTCCCTCCCTCTGAGCGGCTGGTGGGTTCGAACTGCCAACCATGAACGGTATGGTCCCCTATCTTTCCGTGGTTGACTTCTTTTACTCCACACACAGTGTTGCCAATGCCCATCTCCGGAGGTTCCTGGGGTTCTATTTAGCCCTTGGCTTCCCAGGGCAGCCGCACACTCTGCTCTGTGACCATTATCCGCATCTTACCGGATTTCCCAGTGCAGTGAGGACCCCTGAGACCACCAGGGCCTCCCCCACCCCCAAACAAGATTACACAGAAACACAGGACATGTGTGTTCTCTCAAGGGCCATGGTGAGGGTCCCTGTGGGGCACACATACCCGAGTAGAGTCAGACTCACGGACCACGCTAGCTTTATTTGCCTACATCGTGCCAGTGTGTGGCAGACTGCTTACAGTTAGGCTCTGCCCACACGGCCCCGGGCCAGCTTTGCCAGGCCCCCAGCTGCAAGGCCCCACCTCGATCGAGCATTTCAATTTGCAGAATCTGATCACGAAATGCCTTTCATAGGGCGGTTGTAAGGCATCCTGCTGGTGAAGTGGGTTCAACCCCCTGGGTTCTGTGTGAGAGAAAGATGCCTACTTCCACAAGGGCGTGCGGACGGGGCCCCAGGGCAACAGTGCCTCTCTGTCCCAGAGGGTGGCTGGCATCTGCATCGACTCCTGGTCCCTGTGTTATGCGGACTTCCCCATCTCAGGACGGGAAGCCGCACTCACCCGCGGCCACACAGCTGGTACGTGGTGGAGGGTGGGTAGTATCAGAGGCCAAGCTCTTCACTAGCCACTGCACTGCCCTACCGCCACACCCACCCGTCCTCCGAGCAGCCTGAGAGGGCACCCCCAGGCCCGGTGTACCTTGACCAGGCCGCGGCTGAAGAGCATTTCCACAATCTCCTTGAGGATGGGTAGGATGCCGCTGTGGTGCACGCCCAGGCCGCGGTGCAGGAGCTCCGACATGTGCAGGACCTGCGGCCGGGGCGCCATTAGGGATGGGGCCGCCCAGCACCCAGCCCTGTCTCCCAGGCTCGCCCGCCCTCCGCACCTGCGGCAGCTGGCGGTCGGAGCCGCGGAGGCGGGCCAGGCAGCGCTGCAGGAAGAGGTGAATTTCGCTCTTCTCTGAGCCCGTGGTCAGGTCCAGGGAGGTGAGGCCCGAGGCCTGCTCGTCGCAGCGGCCTCGCGAGAAGGTGAACACCACCACGGGCAGCTGGGCGCGGGCGCGAAGGGAGGCCAGAAGGGACAGGTACACCCCGCGGTCCTGGGGAAGGGAGGTGAGGGGCAGGGGCGGAGGCCCTGAGCCAGCGGTGCTGCAGCCGGGGGCATGCAGAGCCGGGTCAGGTCGGGGAGGGTGGACAGTCAGGCTTGAGCCTCTAGAGGGTGTGTTTGGGGGTGGGGAGGGTTGTCCTGGCCCTCCCAGGCTTACCTGGGCAGGCCCCCCGTGGTGTGTGGGCTGCTTGGCCCCAAAAGTCTGCGCGTGCTTGCTCATCCTGTCTTTCTTGGCCTCCACGGCAGCGTAGTACCTGGGCATGGGGGGCGGCTGTCAGGCCCGGCCGGACCCCGGCCCGTGCCCTCCCCCCACCGCTGGGCTGACTTGCCCCTTGGTGTGGAAGGTTCCCCGGGAGTCCAGCAGCAGGAAGAGCTCCCCCTGAGTCTTGGGGCTGTTTCCTGTGAAGAGGTAGTGCTCCAGGGGCACGGGGCGGGCGACCGTGCTGATCACGTAGATCTGGCGACGCTTCAGCCGCCTGGGCAGGAGGGGAGAGGACAGTCAGGTGGCAGTCGGGGTTGCCGGGAAGCTAGCTACAGCCCCACACCTTTCCAACTCTGACTTCTTCACCTAGTCTTTCCTGGGAGCCCTCCCTGCCTCCCCCCCCCCCCCCATCCCGTCTCTCAACGTGGAAAGTGGTCTGGCCTCAAATGGGATCCCCCTACCAGCCAAGAGGCACAGCAATTACTCTTTGGGCTGCTAACCACAAGGTCACCAGTTCAAAACCACCAGCTGGTCCTTGGGAGAAAGAGGAGGCGTTCTACTCCCACAGAGGTGGTCTCAGAAGCAAACAGGGGCCATTCTTCCTTGTCCTACAGGGTCACCATGACTCGGCATCCACTCGAAGGCAGCGAGTGAGACCAGCCAAGTCAGACAGGTTCCCTGCTGCTCTCTCCTCCTCACCTGGAGGCCCTGATGCCCTGACAGAGATACTGGACCTGCCCCAGAACTCCCGGGACACGCCGCTCACCCAATCCAGTCAGCAAACTCCAGGGCGTTGGGGACGGTGGCGCTGAGCAGGATGATCGAGACGTGGTCAGGTAGCATGATGAGCACCTCCTCCCACACGACCCCGCGCTGGGAACGGAGGGAAGCCGGGTCACGGGGTGCTCACAGCAGGCCGCCCTTCTGTCCCCAGAGAGGCGTCACACGTCCCCTGCGTGGGGCTAGAAGGCAGTGAGGTCCAGGGATAGGTGGAGCCCGGGAGTGGCCGAGCCATTCCCTCAGGAGAGGGCTGCCGGGGTCTGGGAGCCCCCACGCCCCTAACCTCGGCGTCGTTGATGTAGTGAACCTCGTCAAAGATGACCCACTCCAGGTCCCGGATGACATCTGAGCCACTGTACAGCATGGAGCTGAGGAGAAGAGGCCGAGGCTGACACCCCGATGCCCTGCACCCACATGTCCTCCAGAGCAGCCTTGTCTCCTCCCAAGACCCCACCTGGCCCCCCCATCCAGCCTTGCTGCGCGCCCGCTCTCACCGAAGGATCTCGGTCGTCATGATGAGGCAGGAGGCCTCGGGGTGCAGCTGCACGTCCCCCGTGAGCAGCCCTACATCCCCAAATGTGTTCCGGAAGTCTCGGAACTTCTGGTTGCTCAGGGCCTTGATGGGCGAAGTGTAGATGGTGCTGGGGAGAGGTGCAAAGTCAGCCGGTCCCTCCACATAGACACCCCCCACTATCACCCCGCTAGTCAGCCTCCTCTGGTCCCCCAGCCTGCCTGAAAGCATGCCCCGGTGCTCACCCCAGCCGCTCTCACGTGCTCCTCTATATCATGACTCCGAGCGCCTTCCGTCCCCCGACCTCTTGGTCAATGAACACAAGCCATTCTTCTAACCTCTTCCCACCCACACCTTCTTGTTTCTCTCTGGGCCTGCCCCCGTCTCCCATCCCCACCACCCTGGCCCTCTCGTCCAGAGGACACAATGGAGTGATGGGAAGTCCTCTGTAGAAAGGATGAGGGGGAAACGCGGCTAGGAGATTCCGAGCGGGGCTGGGCTGGTACCGACCGTGTCATGTGCTTCTGGGCCAGGGCGATGGCGTATTCGGCCACCACTGTCTTCCCTGCAGACGTGTGAGCTGCGACGAAGACGGAGTTGTGCCGTTCCAAGTGCAGGATGGCCTGTTTCTGAAACACATCGGGCTCGAACGGCCACTGTGGGAGGGGAGAGAGAGAGACAGGGCTGCAAGGAGGCGAGCAGCCTTCTTGCCTCCCATTCACAGGGTGGACGGGCACAGGGAGAAGGGCAGCATGATGTGACAAAAGGCTGGCCCAGAGGTGCTGGCCTAGCCTGGAAGGTAGAGAAGAGGGAAGGGGGGGCTGGGGAAGGGGTAGGGGCGTGTGGTAGGGGAGCCGGTGAGGGCTGGGGCCACACTACCTGGAAAGCTGGCTGGGGAATGAGGCGATAGAAATCCCCAACAGGGGAGGTGACATCCACCGGAATGGCCCACTGCTCCTGAGCTGGGGGCTTGGGGGCCTCTGGAGAGGGTGTTACAGTGGACGGCTCCTTGAAAAGCCAGAGGGAGGGCGCATGATAAAGCTGCCACCGGAGAGCTCTGTTCCCACGCCACCTGCTCCGGTGACTCTCCCAAGCCAGCCCTCCTTCCCCACCTCTGCTACCCAGAACCGCCAACCTTCAACACCAAGTCCTCTAAGCTGCTCGCCCGAGCCAGGGGGCCACTGCAGGGAGAGCCTGACGCAGCATCTCCTCCGGTACTTCCTGGCCGTCCTACTGCCTCACGCTCATCCTCGTCGCCCCCACCCAGATCGAGGGGCTCCAGGAGACGGCTGAGGCTGAGCAGGCCCGGGGCTGGAGCGGGATGATCTGAGGAAGGAGGACAAAGCGAGGCTCGGTCATGTCCATCTTTCTTCCGTGGCAGAAGAGCACCAGGGCTCCTGGGCACCCGTCCCCCAAACTCAAACTCACTTTTCGGTGCAAAGTCCACGCCTTTCTTGAAGCCAGGTGGGACAGTCAGGAGATCTGAAGGGCAGGGAGGGAGAGGGGGACAATCACAGCTGCGGCCTGCTCAAACCCAAGGGGTGCCCTTCACAGGGCGGATGCCATCGACCAGGAAGTTGTCCTGAAGGTTGCCCGTCAGGTGGCAGGGCAGCGGATTGTAGCAGAGGCATGCAAGAGCTAGCAGCAGACCCCTGGACCACTCGGCCTCAGAGCACCGACTCGGAGCCCGGCCTCCCCAGGGGCATGTCCGGCACCACCTCACCTTTCTCAAAGTCTATCTCCTCCTCGGCCTCTTCCCGGATGCTCAGCTCTGCTACTGTGGGCTCATCCATCCCACCTGTGGGAGAAGGTGGCTAGAGGGAAATTCATGGGGTGGAGGTGATTGGGGGTGGGGAGAACCTTCCCAGAAGACTAAGGAGCCCTCTCCTACGGTCCCATTCCCACAAAAGTCACCTGGCCAGAAAGGGTACTGTGTTGGGTTCCCCCAAAGAGCCTGAGAGGGGGGCCCTGGGGGCCGGCGAAGAGACAAGGAAGTTGTGGCCGAGAGGTTTGTGTTCTCCAGCAGGACCTGAGACAAGAGACCAGAGCTCCAGTGAGGCTGAGGGGGCTTCTGACACCCGTTCTCCCAGCTCTGTTTCTCATGGCCCCCCAATCTCGTACCTCTTTGTAGCCCAATATCTGGCCTGTGGTTGAATGTCTTTGGGCTTGCAAGTCTGAAGGTACTGGGGCCCCGGGGACGGCCAGGAGAGACCAGGGATCGGTCTTCCTCTGCCATTTCCTGAAGAGAAGGAAGGTCGTTCCCTGGTCGTTTTTCCTTCAGGGACCCACCTCCCTAGTCCTGGCCCTTGCAGCCCCCTCACCGGGCTGAGTGTTCCACGCTGTGCAGAGGCAGCCAGGCTGGGGATGACAGAAACAGTTGCTCTGCTTCTTGCTGCAGATCTGGGGCACAGGGAGGGAGCCCATGGGGAAGCTGGGGAAAGGGCGAGATGAAAGGCATGAGGGAGAAAAAGGGTAAGGAAGCGCTGACAAAAATGGAGGCAGAATTCTTTGTGGAGGTCATCAGTCATAACAGATGTCCCAGGAAAGTCAGACAGAGGCACTGAAACGTTTCCCAAGGTTGTCCCCAAACTGCCTGCTACTGGATTCTCTGTATTGGTTGAGAATATACGTGTGGGATTCAGAGTCTTGGGGGAGAAGCTGGAAAGTTGCATTTATAAAATGTCCCCCCCAGGCACGAGGGAATCTGAGTCACGGGTCTTAGCCAAAGGCGTCCTCCCCCTAAAGATGACAAGCCCAAGCCTAACACCAGCATCTCAGACAGCGGACAACTGCCGTGATGCTTAGGAACAGACAAGAGGGGGCTCCAGGGAGAAAAGGCACGAGGCAGGGGTTTCTGCCTGGTCTTGGCACAAGGGACTCCATTTTGAATCCGGCACCTTCTTGGGTCTCAGAACTCACCTCTCATGGGCCTCCCTCACATCGGCCTCC